TCGTATTGCTGGGGTGAGAAGGAATAGAGCATGTAGCTGTTTTTAAAAAGAAAAAAAAACTTTAAAAACCCAGCTTGTTTCTGCCATTCCTTGGTAGTTCACTTTGCTTCCAGGCTAGAAGGCTCCTGTCTTCTGGAGGTATCACAATAGCAGTGCTGGTTGGCTAGGTTTCCAGCATGGAAAGAAAAGAGTTAAATATGGAAATCCCAAACAAATAGCTTATTTTAAAAGTAATTTTTAAGTCTTTTTTTCTGAAGAACATGGGAATTGATGGAGATGAATCAAATGATTCTTTATAGTGTCTGACAAAATGCCTTTCATTTTTGGACTCATCCATTTGATACATTTCCCAGACACAGGGACTTTGTTTAAACATCTTTTTCTATCAGCAGGGAGTCCAGAGCCTGGTGCTAACACAACTTTCCTGTGCTAGGGATGAAATGGGCTGCTGGATTTGCTCTGGCTCTGTTCCTTGTGGGCTGGTACTGGGTTACTGCCAATATGATTTCAGTCTGTCTAGATGCTTAAGAGAAAGTAGGAATATCTGTGAGTTCTTGCTCAGCACTGGAGGCCTACCTGTGTGTCTGTAGGTGCTGCGTTGGCCCAGGTGGTTTGTGGTTCAGGTGCTGAAACTGAGAGCTCTGGTTCTGGAGTAGTCTTTCCAGGAAATCTGGATTCTGCTCCACAGAGCTCCACTGGTGCAGAGTTGTTTTTCTTGGTGCCACCCAGCACTGGGACTGAACCCTGGCACTGTCTGACCCAGGCTGTTCAGTACAGAAAACATACCAAAACTCCCACCATCTGCACAGCTAACTACCTGGCTTGCCTGAAGAAGGCCTGGGAGTGAAACAGCTGCTACTTGCTACTGCTGGAGGGCCAGGGCATGGTGGGAAGGTGATGTGGATCTTCTAATGGTTGGTCTTGCTTAGGCTTCACAGTCACTTACAGACTAACCTTCGTAGTGCATAATAAGGACAGGGCACCCTGGCCTCTGAAGTGCTGAGGATCAACCACGTTGTTTGGAAGGTGTTTGGGTGCGGAGAGTGAAAAAGGACCCACAGAGGAAGGAGAAGGTGTTTCCCTGCTGCGTTTGGCTGGTGCTGGTGATCTCTGCAAGCTGGTGAGAAACAAGGTTCAAGATAGCGATCACATCTCTTTCTCTCCCTTGTTGAGAAGATATCTTCTGCCCGTGTAAGTTGTTAGAAAACTATTGGTGATGTGCTGGTGTATCTGCTGCTTTTCTGTTGCCCCTTTATGGGTTATTAAGGATTAGCTGTGGGTGTTGCTTTCTAGGAAGTGGAAGCTGTTGGAGGCTGGGGTTTGAGGGCAGGGAGTATTTGGGATAATGAAGACTGGATAATTTGTGGGCACTAACTTGTGATCCCAAGGCTGGGAGAGTTATAGTTATGGTGGCAGAGAGTTCCTTTTCTAGCACGGGCTCAGCATGGCTGCATATGCTGCAGGGATGTGGAGCTGGCCTGGCGTAGTGGTTGCTGATCCAGAGACACTTTAATCTGCTGAAAAATGGGGAAAATATTAATTGTCTTCTGCATCTTTATCAATTTAAGTGTGCCCATGCCAGAACACTTAGATCTTTTAGTTTGTGTGCCCAGTGTACAACACAGTATGATTTTCCCTGGGTGTCAGATTGTAAGTGCTTCACTGTAGCAGCTAATTTGTTACTTCTGTAAACTGCTGAAGGACTTCTGCTGTATGCAGGGGCTGGACCTCCCAGTCGAAAGGTGTTTTGACTGACCTGTTCTTGGAGAAGGAGAATTTAACTGATTTAACAAACCAGCAAAGCAAAGTTTGCTTTGCGGCACTAACTTGCAAGTATCTGTGCTCCTTTCCTGCCTACAGAGAAAAGCTAATCTTTTTTTTTTTTTCTCCCCCCTTTTTTTTTCCCCTTTTCTTTCTTTTTTGTTGCCTATGCTGGAAAGGGAAATGGTGGGAGGAAAATAGATGTGACTGTGCTGGGATGCTTGGGTACCGCTGCAGTGAGGTATGAAGGCATGGAGAATCACTGGGAGCAAGGCACACAGGTGGTGTTCAGTGCTGCACAGGAAGCTCTGAAAGCAATAGTCCAGACTCTCTGGTTTCTCCTGTCTCTGTTACTTTGCTGAAATTTTTCACTTGGAGACATCACCAGGCTACCATTAAAAATTGCTGCCATCTTGCAGCACTGCAGACTGAGGTCTGGTCTGGAAGACTGTAGACAAGCTTTAGTGTGGCCAGGCTGCTCTGGGTGTGACGGGTGCTTGTTCAGAGGTGGGAGGTTGTGAGGAGATCTGCCGTGACCCATTTCAAGCACCTGAGAGGAGGAAGAAGGCTGGTCCCAGGCAGTAAAAGATCTCTGGATGTGCTTCTGCATCCTGCTACCTTTCCTCAGCACAGCGCTCCTCTCTCCCTGAGCTCACTTAGTCCTTTCCATATTAAAGGTGTGTTACCAGGGAAGATGGTGAGGGAGAAATAAGACAAACAGGCTTCAGCTAACTAGTGGGAGACGTTCACCAGATGTGCTGCTGGGCTGCATGGCCAGTCCTGGTTTCCTCTCCCGCATTGCCATGTGCTCAGAGCACCAGTCCAGGGGCTACACTGCAAAACCAAGAAAAAAGCAGTAGCATGCAGAAGTGGGGAGAGAGGGATCTAAGCTGCTGGTGCTGCCTAGGGCTCACTGAGATAGCTCGTCTCCCGTGAGTAACTCCTGCTCCTGCCTGAGTGACTGGTAGAGGACTCTGCAGGTTAGGCAGTCTGGCCCCTTATGCATCTCGCAGGTAGTCCAGGGGTTGTTGTTTGGGAGAGCAGCTGACTCCTCCTCGTGCTTCTGTTGTATGTCTTACAACTCCGGGCTATGTGTATAACTTGTAGGATGAAGAAGGATTTGTGGAAGCCTTGAGAAGGTTGTGTGCATGTCAGTCTGTCCTGCTGGCTTTGCAGAATGGTAGATGGAGGGGATCTGTGTGCTTGGGAGGGGCAGGGCAGTGCCAGAGCTCAGAGATGCCCATCCATGGGCATCCATCCATAGTGGAGCTGAGGACCCATCTGCCCCAGCCAAACCCCACAGCTCTTGCTGCCAGTGCTCAGACTGCAAATGCTTCAACCTCTCGACCTGCATACAGGTGCAGGTTGGTTTGGAAGTAACCTTCCAAGGGTTAATGTATTGTGAGAAGGTTGCAAAGGGCTGAAGCCTGGACTCCCCTCGATCCCTTGCCTGGAGAAACACAAAGTCCAATAAGCCAGCACCCCTGGATTCGTGTTGGGGGGGATTAATTCATGCACTTGATGTTAAAGCTTGTCCGAGAGGTTTGCATGGGGGGGCCATCGCTAGGGCTGGTTGGCCTCTCTAAATGGTTGCTAGGGCCCTGGCATCAAGGGCCAATGTAGCTGCCCACAGCCACGGTCACGGAGGGAATTACACAGCCACAAAGAAATTGTTATTCTACATAATCTGCTCTTTGGAGAGTGACTGTGGGGAAACAGGCTGGCCCCAGCATGCCGCCAGCTCTGTGATCATAGAAGCGTGCTGGCTGCAAAGATCGGCCAGGGCTCGCCTTCTGATCTGGGGACACCAGGGCTCGAGGCGCTAATCTGCTTTATCAGCAATTTCTCTCTCCTGACACAAAGGTGTTTACTTGTTTTAACATCTCCTGGGACTCTATTTCTCCTTTTGTGTGGTCTTTATCCCCCGACGAGGGCTTTAGCCCAGATTACAGACAGAATTAAGGCATTTGGCAATGTGCCTCAGAACTGTGTGATGCTGGATCAAGGAGCAGAAAGTAACAAAATAATGGGGGGAGATGCTGGGAGTGACCCCACTGCGGGATCCGTGCTGTCGGCTTTCAGGACCGCTTCATTGTCCTGAGAACCAAGGGCCTGTTGGAGAGGGGTGGTCGTGCGGCAGGGTTTGAAAAACAGGTGCTTCAAGGTTTATTGTGTCCAGAATTTCTGATTTAGAGGGTGTGAGGAGGAAGAGGAGGAAGAAAAGGAGGGTTTCAATAAGTGGCCATTTCAAGCAGCTGGGCAGATTGTCCTCTCCATTCCCAAGAGTCTGCTATGGCTGGGTGTTGCTGGCTGCTGGGGCAGGTGGAGTGATAACGGGGACAGGCTGTGCCATGTGCCTGACACAATTTCCTATGGCCCAGGAAAGGGGCTCAAGCTCCTTCTTGCAGTCTGGCAGGGTGAGCTCTTACCGGGTACTGTCCACCTGGTGAGCTGCTGGTTCTGCATGTGAACAAGCAGCAGAGTGATACGGCCACAAAGCTTCTGGCGTAGAGCTTCACGGAGATCTTGCTTTTGCTCTTTGACAGCAAGCAAGGAATTAAAAAGGAGGAGAGGATAAAAAAAAAAAAACACCACAACAAAAGCACAACAACACAACAACAAGCTAGCCTTTGGAAAGTCACCTCCAGAGCAGCCCTGGGGTGATTGCTCTTGACTGTCATGTTCAGCCCTAGATACAGTGTTTGCAGTACGCAGTGTAACTGGAGGGGGTTGAGGAATGCAGCCACGGCAGACTGGGTGAGGAGGGTCTGATTTGCCTCTGGATCTGAGCTGTGTGTGAAAGATATGGGGAAATACCCCAGTGGGAAGTATTTGGAAAGACGAAGTCTGGGACGGGATTGACCAGGTGAGTGACTGTTGCAGATTATCTGGAGTTCGACTAAGTTGAGCATTGTCTCCCATGGAAACAGAGCCCCATTGTTCAGAGTATTGGTCACTTGTCCCAAGGAGAAAATGATCCTGTTCTGCTAGGTGTCAGCTGCACCTGTTCCTCCTATTCACCAGCTGTGACTCCTGCTGGTCACCATCCATGACAGTTAGTGGCCCAGCCAGTACCAGAAGCTGGGGGTGGGAGAGGAAAACTGTGCAGGCTTTTGTGTTGTGTTAAATCACAGAGATGAGATCTAGGAGACTTCTGTGTCACCATCTCCGCTGTGGCCAGCTGAATTGGGAGGGCGCTTTGCTCTGAATGACTCTTCTCCTGTTGTGTTTCATTGCAGTGGTCAGCTGTTGACCTGTTTAGGGACTGACTTCCACCGTGGAGCTGGAGTCCTTGATGTCTTCTACGAAACGCCCTCTCTTCTGCTTTCTTGTGGGTACGACACCTACATCCGCTACTGGGACATACGGACCAGCACCAGGTGAGCCTACTCTGCTGCTGTCCGAGGCCTGCGTGAGGCTCCTGGGCTCTCCTTGTGCTGTGTCTGGGGACTTGCCTGCAGCTGAACCAGCTCCTTCAGGCCAATTAGGCCTCAGGTCCAGCGGTGGAGGAGTGAAGGCTCAGCCTCACTCTGTTTTTTGATGCCCATGCAGGAAGTGCGTCCAGGAGTGGGAAGAGCCCCATGACAGTGCCCTGTACTGCATACGGAGTGATAAGAACCATATGATTGCAAGCGGCTCTTCTTACTACGGCGTGGTGCGCCTCTGGGATAAGCGGCAGACTCGGTGCCTGCAGGTGAGGGCTGCTAGAGGCTGGGCAGCAGCAGAGCTTCTGAGTTGTTCTAAAGAGACATGGGCACTGGGCTGCCAGAGAAGAAGGGAGAGTGGCTGCTGGGCTGTCTTTGGGGTGAGGCCACCATGGGGAACCTAACCTATATGCAGGGAAAAGCCTGCTTTGCCCAGGCATCTCAGCCTTTGGGTCTGCAACATGAGTTGGGGTCTTTGGGCTGACCGGTTGCTGGAAAGGTTGATTCTCCTGTTTTCTTGCAGAGCTTTCACCTGTCTTCACCCACCAGCAGCCCAGTGTACTGCCTTCGTTTCAGTACCACCCATCTGTACGCTGCCCTGGCATCAGCCCTGCACGTCCTAGACTTCACGACTCCTTGAAGGGCACCACAGCTGCTTCTGGTCACCCCAACTCAGCAGAGTTGACACTTGGCTCAGGGAATTGCAGGGCAGGAGAGGTGAGAATGGCCCTCGAGGCTTCTGAAGGAGATTTTTTGCCTGCCAGAAAGCTACATTGAAGAGTGCACAAAGGGCCAGACTTTCTCAACCTCACCTGCCTGTTAGTGGAAATAAAGGCCAATTGTCCTTTACCCTTTTTATTTTGTGCAAGTCAGGGTTTGTTTTAACTGCGTTCTTTTTTCTTTTTTTTTTTCTTCTTTTTTTCTGATTTTCTGTGGATCCAGCATTTGAGGGGCAAGTTGAGCCGGGATGCCCTGTCAGCTGTGTGTGCTGGTCAGGTTGAGATCAGCCAAGCTTTGAGCCATATGAAGCAAGTCTAGGCTGTGTGTGGGGTGAACTGATTTGGTGGAAGGGAAAGGTGCCTGGAGCAGGGCCCACCTTTCACCTGCGCTTGCTCTCCTGACAGCTGCTTGTGTTGTCCTTCAGCCAGGAGCAAGAACTGAGCTAAAAGGCAGAGCCAGCCCTGCTTTCAGTGTATGCCTCCCCAAGCTGGCTGTCAGGTCGGGCTGTGCACTTGGCAGGGCTGAAATGGTCGCGTTTTGCTAAATAAAACTCTGAAGGGAAACAAAAGAGGCTGTATGTTTTGTTTCAAGTTCCAAAGGGGCTGTGATGTTACCTGCTGATCACAGAGGCCTGGCTGGGCAGAGGAGGTTGGGCCTATTTTCAGACACTGTCTCCATGTCCAATAGATCTCTCTTCCTGCCTAGACCCTGTGACACTGCTGCATTGAAGGCAGTTCTTGGGATCTTGGATCTCATGTCACTTGTTTAAACAACAAATCAATAAGTAGGATCTGCAACTCGCTCGCTCCCTGCATAACGAAGCAGCAAACTGGACTAGTGCAAGCACCAAGGCCTTGGTGAGATTTACTGGGATCCTGTAGGCACATCTAAGTGGGCTCTGCTCCTTTTTGCGTCAACCTTCTGAACCTGAGCAGGATCTCAGAACAACTCTAGCTTTCAGCGTGCTCTGTGCTGCCTGAATGAATGCGGATGTCTGTGGATCAATGCGCTCTGCATGAATGCAGCAGTGTTTGAGATCTGGTACTCCTTGGGGAAGGAGACGTGTGAACCCTACTAGACTGTGAGTTTAGGCATCATGGATAGGTAAAGGAGAGATTTTGCATCACAAACTGGGAGCACTTCTAGGGCAAAGCACACAGCGTGGTCCTTTGTTAGAACTTAATAGGTAATTTCCACTGTCGTGAGGCTGCTCTTCCCTTGTGATGCACAAAAATTGGAAGAGGATGTTTGCTGGAGCCCTTGCCTGAGCAGGAGGGAGTGGAACCAACCAGCTTCTCACCTGCTTGAAGGCAGCCCTCCATTCCCAGTAGACGTGAGGCAGCAGCCCTGGGTGCGCAGTAATTTAAAAGCATGGCTTTGCTGCAAGACGACATTCTCACAAGGATCTTTTCAGCACGGCTCCCTGTCACAGTTCCTCATCCAGCTCTGCTGCCACTTGTGCCTGCTTGCTGCCGGCTCCCTTGTCGCTACCATGGTGTTACATATTCTCCTTGTGTAAGTGGCAGAGTTGGTATGTAAGTGCCCCAAGCACTCTTCTGCTGCTGTAAAAAGATGCCATGGTTGTAACCATCTTCCATCAGCTCCAAGCTGTAGATCCCAAAGACTGCTAGCCCAAGATAATGATTCTGGGGGAACCTCTGGGCTATTGGTGACACTGAGCGGTTGCTGAAAAGATGATGCTTTGCATCAGGGGCTGCTAAACACTGCTGCTGTATTGTTTGGAGCACTTGGGGCTCTGCATGTGAGGAGAGCTTTAGGTAAGTGATTAGGCATGAGATAGAAGATGAGGGGGAGAGCTGGCAGAGCCTGGGAGTGGGGAAGGTCTGTTCTTTCTCAGATCCTGGTGTGTTACAGGTCCTTTAATGAAATTGGGAGGGAGGGATGGAGATATTAATTGTCTTTGATAGTGTCCCCAGGGAGAGGCTGTGAAGGAACCAGAGTAACTGTGGGGTGGGAGAAGAGGTTCTTTATTGCACTGGGACTTGGGCAAGCCCCAGAGTAGGAATGAGCATCTCAGCTGAGCAGGTGAACAAGTATCACTGGTGCAGGCAACGACTCCTGTGACAGCCCTTCCTGCAACACTGCCAGTGCCTTTCCACAGCCCATGTTGGTGGGTCCTGCACTATTGTAGCTGCTTTTAGGTTAGGGTGAAGCTGCAGAGCAGCAGTGAGCAGAGCTGCAGTGCCATGGTGGTGCCAACACTCAAAAGTAGGGGTTGTTTGGGTAGAAGATATTCAAATATGAATTGGGATGAAAGGACATGCCAAAATCTAAGCACAGGGATGGCTGGTGCAGGGTAGAGACAGTAGCTCGTTGGAGACAGAGCTGCTAAAGCAGCACTGCTGGGGTTGTCCTGTGCATGGGGTGCTGTCTGTGCAGCGAGGTTTGTGATGAGCCATGTTTGTGCCCTCATGGAAGGGGTGTGCTACTGCTACTCCTGAGCTGGCCAGTGGCCTCTGTTGTTACTTTCCCTTCCATGCCATGCAAATGAAGGCGGCTGCATTTCCGTTCCTGTGCTCTGCACAGCCGCCCTTCTGCAAGTCATGCACGTTGCGCATGGCTGGTGGCAAGGAAGCAGTTGGGTGTCCTCTTCACTCCATTTTGTAGGCTGTGCCCATTCAGGTCCAAGCATTGAAGCAGTTTGCAGAGATACCAGAGTCGCCAGAGGATCCTTCTAACTGCACAGAAGACCTGACACAACGGCACGGGAAGGGAGTTGCTTCCAAGCACATCCCAGGCAGGTAACAGATGTGAGGAGGGGGATCTTGTTTTTCCAAATGTTACTGCCTTAAGTGATGGTGGCACACAGAGGGAAATCCCAAGGGGAACTACCCAGCTTTCATGTTGCTTCTGCTCATGGAAGACGGAGAGAGGACTGCCGGCTGTGGATGTGGTGCACTTCCTTTCCCACAACTCGTAGAAGGATCATAAATGTCTGTGTAAAGCAGACCAGGCAGTAAAGAGACTGACTGCCCTGCTATCTCCCTGGGCCTGCAAAGATTCCTTCAAATGTCTCCATTAACAGTAGGACCAGTTTTTATTGGAAAAGGCAAAATAAATACCGTGAACCTGTTCTGGAGACCTGCCCCCCACCTCAGCCTCTTGGCAGCCACTGCCTACTGAGTCTTACAGTCACCATCCCCGTTGTTCGCTGCTTTTATCTTCTTCAGCTCCTTCTGCAGCTGCTCTTCTGCAGCCAGGATCTCCTTTGGCTTCTGGTACTGTAGGACAGAGAGAAATTGCCTTAGCACTCCTGTTCAGCCTCTGCTCCAAGCAGACCAACTGGGGCCAGGTGCTACCAGCACAGCTGGAGCCCGCCTGCTAAGGGAGGTCTTTCTGTTATCAGCTGCCTCCAAAGCCCCTTTGGAGAGGTGGTGCCACTAAGCTAGGGACATTTGCCAAGATCTGGAGTGTCTTTTACAGTGAAAGTAAAACTTTCCAGTTGGATGTGGAGTCCTGGCCCCCACCAACCCTCTGGAATATCCTGGCAAGCTGTGTCGTGCCGTCCCCTGGTGTGCTCGCCGACTGTATGCTCACATGTTGTATATATTCAACATGCATTTTTTAAAAAGGCAGACAGAGAAGTAAGAGTTGCAGTTCCTCTGTCTCCCCTCCCAGAGCTCCCTTGCCCAGCTGCAGTTCAGTGGTGGATGCAGGTGCTTTCTGGCGAGGGTTTGGCCCATAGCAAAGAGCAGCTCAGAAGGACTCAAGGTGCTCTCTTGGCCTGTTTCCTCTGCGTGTGCACACCCAGCTCTGCTGCGAGGTTTCCCTCCGAGGAGATGCTCTCTGGGTAGCTGACTTCTACGTTTAAGAAGACGAGCACCTGCTGCTTGAAGCATTTGTCTGCTCCTTACAACAACAAGTAAGTGCCCGTTTTGCTAGTCTCTTACTTCCACCATGTGTGTGGAAGTGTGTCCTCTCTGACGCAAAGCAGCAGGTGGTATTTTTTAATTTTTTTTTTTTTTTTTAAGACTGAGAGACCTCTAATCGCAGCAGGTCCTTGGACTCTTAACACTTACACTCTGAGGCAAGAGAAACTTGCTGTCACTGAGAGTGGAAGCTTGCTCAGGCCTGAGGGAGGGAATACATGGAAACGGGGCACAACAGACACTCTTCTACCTGCAAGTCACCTTGAGCAGCAAGCAGAGCCCCTCCTGCGGCCTGGGCTGTCCGGGCTAGTGTCAGCATGCCTGGTGTAATCTGAAACTCCCACCGACTGTGTGACAGAGGAGGGGGCTCATCAGTGACCCTCAGCAGATCTCCCTGCTCTGCTTCATTTCCCCATGTTTAAGAATTTTAACTTCTTTGTGGACATAAAGAGAAGGGCAGAGTGCTCTTCTGCATGGCTAAAACCTCACCGTGATGATCAGGGTGTTGTTGGCATGGGTGAAGCTCAGGGCAGCTGCATCCAAGGGGACCTGGTATCGGTCCAGGTCAGGAATAGAGAACTTTTTGTAGTACCTACAAATAAGAGGAGACAGAAATGAGGAAAGTGAAGTTCCTGTTCCCCCAGTAGCAGTGCTGAGCTACGGAGTGCTGTTCTACAAGGTGCAGATGAGGACAACAGATCTCTCGGGGTTGGCAGGAGGACCCTGTGCCATGCTGTGCGCCTGCTGGAGCCCCAGGCTGACAGGAGCACTGGAAACAAACCTCCAAACTGGAAATCAGAGCTGGCAAAGTAATAAAGGGCTTTGGTGTGTAAGAGTGGGCTTGGTCCATACAGCTTGCCCTTGAGTAGTGACAGACATAGTTAGGGACAGACTACTCAGCCCTACCAAGAGGTGTGCCTTGTCTTTGTCCCTGCTCATGGCCTCTCACTCCTTCTAAGTACCAGCTCCCATTAGCTCTTGTCAAAGCAGCTGTCAAAGCCCTTGTGCCCTCTGACTTACTTTCCTGAGCGATGCACCATTTTGTGTTGCAGTCCTTCCTAAACCCATCTTTTTGGACTCTTTCTGTGCTTCCTAGGTAACTTCCTGCTTTAGTGGCACAGCGGTGCTCGGGCATACCCCTGGGCACAGAGCGCCAGATGTAGCTCCCCACAGTCACCTGAGCCCTGGCTCTGCAGGGTCTCCATGCAGCCCCCATGGTGGCTGTGATGCTCCTGTACACTCCCAGCTCCCCTAGTTGTTCTTTCCCTGGTCTATCTCAGTCTCCTGATCACCTCTCACATCCAAGCAGAGGATGCACCAGCTCCATATCCAGCCTGTCCCCCTCCACTGACCAAACCTTGGCATTTGCTCAATATGAAGGAAAGG